GCCTCTGAGGTGTGGATAAACTAGGCCAGGCCACGTCTTCAGACACTGAGAAGAGCAATGATTCATAAGCCTGTACTACTGAATGGCAAAAAGTGTTTCCTGGGAAGGTACTCAAACCGGCTTTTATCAGTTTGGGTTTAAAAACTCAAAATCAGGGCACCTGGGTAGCTCCGTAGGTTAGGCACCCGACTCTTGATTTCAGCTCAGGTCTGCGGAATATCTGTGAGTGATAGAAATGAGTATCTCATTTCGTGTAATAACTTCTCTGAGACGCTTCCAGAGTCCTGTTTCAATATCAACATTTTGTCCTCAAGACTTTCATTTCCTGTTTTTGTTTGGAAATCTCTGAGGTCTAGAGGTACCTGGGCGGTGCAGTCAGCTAAGTGTACAACTTTTGATTTCGACTCAGCTCTTGATCTCACAGTTGGTGAGATCGAGCCCTGCGTGGGCTCTGTGCTGACAGCACAGAACCTGAGATTTTCTCTCTCCCTCCCCCTTTCCCTCTCCCCTTCTCCTGCTCTTCCATGTGCTCTTTCTCTCTCAAAATAAATAAATAAGCATGTTTTTAAAATAAATGATTTTTTTAAAAAACTTTCCAAATCTCCTGAGAGTCTACTGTACAAACTCACTTCCTTAGTCTTTTTATTCTTGTTTTCAGTTTTATCTCCACCCATCCCACCCAATCTTCCAAATGAATCCTGTGCCCCAGTCTATCAGATCTCCTCACCAAACTATGACTATATTTCAAACATGTATTGGTTCATTCAACACATGTTTACCGAAGGCTTGTTATGAGCCAGGCATGATGCCAGGTGTTGGAGAAAACAGTGACAGATGTGTCTCTGCCATCATGGAGAATACAAATAGGAAGTGCAGGGGCACGGGCAGGGACACGGGTTCCAACAGGAATTCCTAACAAAAACACAAAGCCTACATGTGACTGGGGGCACAAAAGAGCTGGCATTTAAACTAGGGTCTGAATGATAGGAAAGAATTCACCAGGTAAAGAGGAGGAGAAAGTGCTCCAAGTTGAGGGAATACCATTTGTAAAAGCCCCGAAGTGAGGACTGTGGAGATTACTAAATTATCCTTATTTATGCCAATCCTTTCTCCTAGATCTTATCCCTACAATCTGTGCCTAAGAAAAGCCATTAACACGGGGCTTAAATCTTCTCTCTCCTCGATAACCATGACTGAGAACTATCATCCACAATTGAACTGAAGGATTTCTTCTCTATAACACTTAGATGGCACTAGTCCATCACTGCATTGTGTGGAAGTTATTGGTATACTTGTTCTATTCTCCCAACTAGGTTACAAGTTCTCAGAGAGCAGAAATCTTTGCAAATAGTAGGAACACAAGCAATTGATCAAGCTATGTTTCTTTTAAGTTTTTTTTTTTTTATTCTTTATTTTGAGAGAGAGACAGAGAGCCTGTGTATGCACACGACAAGAGAGGAGCAGAGAGAGAGGGAGAGACAGAGGGAGTGAGAGAGTGTAAGAGAGAGAATCCTAAGCAGGCTCCGCAATGTCAGCACAGAGGCTGATGCGGGGCTCAAACTCAGGATCCAGGAAATTGTGACCTGAGCCGGAATCAAGAGTTGGTCACTTAACCAACTGAGCCACCCAGGCGCCCCTGAGCTGTGTTTCTTTGCACTCCTCACAACATCTAGCCTTAAAGCTAGCTGGCACTCAGAGATTTCTGTGAGTGAAACTGAAAAAATGAAAATTGTCTTCAAGTCTAGAAAGGCAATGATTGTTAAGAACTGTGAAGGGTCTGAGATCTTACCCTATTTGCAAATAACAAGTTAGCCAGCCACAATTTCATGAATGCTGACGGAAGACACGAGACTCCTTGGCCAGAGACAGGATGTAATTACTTAAGGCATGGCCAGCGGCCTGAGCCTCGGCATATTACGCAGCTCCCCCAGCCCCCACTCCCATGGTGATGACATACACAGGCCCAGGCGTGTGCCTGAGTGTGCACTACATCACAGAGAGGAACTCTGAGCAGAAAAACCCAAATCTTTTATAATAGGCAGTAAGCATGGGACGTTTTGCTCCAGAAGGACACTGAATTTCCCAAGGCTCCTCATTATACAAAATTCTTTAAAAAGAGAGTCCATAGCAAAAGGCAGGGAGGGCCTCTGTGTGCAAGACATGCAGAAATGTGAGAGACTCACGGAGAATTACTTCCCAATATTGAGTAAAGTCAACAGGCATTATTAATAAAAGTAGCTCTTGCTTATTGGGTGTTGATATGCGCCAGGCACTGTGCTAATTATTTTACATGCATTACATCTTTTATTCCTGCCAACAAACTTATGAGGGAATATTAACAAATCTATGTGAAAATATTTTTATAAATTAAGGCTTTCAGCATACAAATGGAAAGCAACAATGGAGAGTTTGGAAACACACACAGGTACATCAGGGAGGTCTCAGGGAGTGGTTAGATCTGTTAGCTGGATACTGTCTGGACTCTCGCTCTATCTGCTATTCCTGCTTCTACTTCTGTGCACTTTTCCTGCCCACTGTCAGAGTATGGCTGTCCCAGCTCCCAAATTCACTTGCTGTAGTGCCAACCAGCTTCAGAAGATGATTAAGAATTCCTGACTCGGCTTGCTCGTTCCATGAAAGAGAATGATTGGTGCAGCTTTGGTCACGTGACTAATCAAAACTTCATTTCTGTCGTGGAGTTTTACAGTAATGTAAATAATAACCAATAAATATTAATATATAAAGAGGTGTAGCTTTTTTCATAATCATTACTTTAGGTAATTAAAAATATTGTGGTCCCACTTACTGGTCTTTATCCTCCAGTAGTCTGTAAGCTCCTCCAGAACAGTAATCATCATAACATTAGGCAGAATTACAGTCATATTGTATATATATATATATATATATATATACACATGATGTGCATGTATGTATACATATATATACATATATGTATATGTATAAATATACGCATGTGTATATGTCATAACTTTGATGTATGTGTGTATATATAAAGAATTTATTTATTTTTTTTAAATATTTTTTTAACGTTTATTTATTTTTTGGGGACAGAGAGAGACAGAGCATGAACGGGGGAGGGGTAGAGAGAGAGGGAGACACAGAATCGGAAACAGGCTCCAGGCTCTGAGCCATCAGCCCAGGGCCTGACGCGGGGCTCGAACTCACGGACCGCGAGATCGTGACCTGGCTGAAGTCGGACGCTCAACCGACTGCGCCACCCAGGCGCCCATAAAGAATTTTTTTAAATAATGATATCATACCGATGAGGTTTTGGGGTGATGGTGGGGGCTCAGGAGCTGGTGACCAAGAAAGAATTCTTGAAGATATCTTTGGTGCAAAAAAGTGATTTTATTAACACACAGAACACGACCCGTGGGCAGAAAGAGCTACGTGGGTGCTGTGAAGAATGGCTGGTTTTACACTATGGAGTTGGGAAGGTAAAGTCAAAAGGGAGGCCTCCAGAGGGACTTTGATATGCTAAAGACGACTCCTAAGATACCCAAAAACTTGCTATTGTCAAGCTAAGATTGTTGTCCCTCTAGTAAGGCATTAACATTAAGACAGTAGGGGGTTCCTGGAGAAATATTATACTCTGTATTTGAGAATTTAATTTTACCTGCCATTTCCTTCTTGCCTTTGTTTCCCATATCACTATGGAGGGGTGATGTTGGGGCTCCAGGAAACAGTCTACAGGCTTCTGGAGATTAGCAGAATAGATAAGATTGCCTTTTTCTTGCAACTTACTAAGATATTTGTAAACTGATGGAGACCCATGGTCTGTATGACTGTGATCTCTATCAATTGGCCATTTGTTTTCTTTCCTTTCCTTTGTCCTTGGTCAGCCAAGTGCCTGAAGAATATCACACACATCCCACCTTGGGGGTGGGAGGGGGGATGCTAGCTTGCACTTTGTCCTTAGCCCGCCCCATGCTCCCTCATCTATAGTGACGCTCATAGAATATTCCATGATTCTATAATATTCCCATTTGTATAATAATTCCAATTATATGACTGTATACTATTCCAATTTGGAACATTTGTGCAAGTTGCTGAATCACCTTGAATATTTAAATTATTTCTAAAGTTTTACTATTATAAATAACATTCCAGGGTTTTAATTCTTAAAAATCTTAGCTACAGTTACGGTTATTTTTTCTCAGAACAGATTGTTAGAAGTGAACCTCTGGCTATTCATTTTTATTAGAATTTCATATATATTATTAAATTGCTTTCTAAAGGTACTAACTTACATTCTTGCCAGCAGTGTAAGTGGCCTGATGTAATTGCATATTTGCTGGCATCGATAATTTTTTTTTAATTTTAATCAGTAAAACTGGTATATCTTTATGTTTGCTTTTTCATTTAACTGGTGAGATTAAACTGAGTTTTGTTTTGTTTTTCAATTTTTAAATAACCATTTATATTCCCTCTCCATAAATTGCCTGTTAAAGCCCTTGCTGGCAGGAATCAAGTGCTGTTCTTTAATGTGCCTCAGTGCTTACAATGGTGCTTGTTATGCAACTGATGCTGACAAAGCTTTGAAAACAAATAGCTAGAAAAATCTCAGAGTAACTGTTTACATCCTTGTGAGAATAATTAAGCCACTAAAACCCAACCATTGTGTACCACTTTAGAATTTACGAAGAACATATCAACATACTTGAACCCCAGAATTACTGTGTGTTGTTATTTTTAACATTTTTTCCGTGTGGAACAAAGTCTGAGGTAACAGGTCTCAGAGGGTAAGTGATGAAAAGCAGCATCGCTCTGGAAACGGAGAAATTGTTTCCCTCAAGACCGGAACTAAACTAACTGCAGTTCATCCTCCTGTACACAAGAGGGCAAAGGAGTAGGCCATGAAGCAGCAAGAATGAGCACCTCGCTGGACTACGTTTCCCAGGTTTCTGCGCGATTGCCCGGAACACTCAGCGGATGAGGATTTCAGGTCCCGGGTTGCTGGGCGGTGGGGTGTGACGCAATCTCACACCCAGGGGCGTAATGGCCTCTGGGTTTTCCCGGGGGACTTCCGCTGTTGAACTGTACCTCTGCTAGGAAACGGGCGCCAGAAGGTTCTCAGACAAGGTCCCGCTTTCTTAGAGTGGTAACGTCGTGCGCCGGTTGGGAAAGGGCGGTGGAAGGAGCGGAGCCTCTGTGAACCATGCTCGCGAACTGTGGGTCCGTCTGTAAAGAGGCCCGTCTTAACGGTACCGAAGTTAGAATCTGCGCTGGGAAGGACGTTTGCTGCAGGCCGAAAACTACACTTCCCAGAATCCTCGTGGTGCCAGAACTACGTTGCCCGAAAGCCTGAGCGTGATTCAGCCAGCCTCTCACCTCCACCCACCAGCCTGAAAACAGGAAATGTGGAGTCGCAGTGTTTGGCGGCTCCTGTGCTCTGACGGCCGTGCCGGCCGCCGGGTTTCCATCCTCGGCTGGCGTTTCTCGCCGGCCCTGCGGAGAGGTGAGACGAAACGGCTTGGTGTCGATGCCTGCGTGCTATTTGGGGATATTGCGGGTGGTTTGTGCCACCTCCGGCGAGCGGTAGATAAGAGTGCCACGCCCCTCCCAGTCCCTGGTCCTGGCGACCCCGCCGCTGCATCTCGCCCGCTTAGATTGGGGCGGGAGGGGTCAGGACTGAGTAGAGAACCCCTTCTCCTCTTTTGAGAGCGAGTCCGTGAAAGCCTGGGGCTCCCACCTGGCTCCACCACTAGAGTCCCTCGGGCTTTTCTTTCTCAGCGCTTGGTTCCTTTTTATTATCAAATGAGGCTGGCAATCCCCGCCCTCTCCGAGGTCTGTCTGGAGTAATCTGTGTTCTGAGAGTTCTGGTTTCTTTCGTGGCTTGTTCAGACTTAAGCTGTTATTTGGGTGCTGTCTCGGACCCAGGTTTTTGGTAGACACAGCGTGCATTTCAGGTCAGGCCAGCTGTATTTCGCTGTTATTTCCAGTACTCGGCAATCACATTGTAGCCTTTCAAAGCAAAACAAAACGTGAATACTGGAACCTGCAAGTGTTGAACTTGTTAGCACCACTGTTAGCATTGTGTCCTAAAGGACAACCTGACTTGAGAGGTTAAAAGATGTCCAGAGTCTCCCCGCACTCTTTAAAAACTCTTTAAGGTTGTCCGCGGAATGGGCACTTAGGACTAACCTTAGCATTCTGTTCCCCTTCTTAAATCTTCAGTGCCATGAGAAATGAGCCACCCTGTACCCACTATACTTTGTTCCATTTTGCTAATTGCTTCATTTTACTCACACAGTAAGATTGCAGTGGTTGATCTTGGATCTGTGAGACCGCTGTTTAGCTGCCAGTGTCTGTCACAAGGTATTTGGTTATATATTTATATATACTAAATGTGTTTAGCATACATACACATTATGATGGACTAATTTGAAAACCTTGACCATGACCCACAGAGGGATCTCCTTTAATATTCAGTTTCTTTTTAAAAGATGAATTAGAGAAGGCATGGGAGGGTAATGCAGTTTGTCTAAGTTTTAATAGTGCTGGATTCCTAGGTCATTACTACTTCCCAAACTAGGCAGAACAGAAATCCTGGGGGTACTTTTTAAAAATACATAATTTTAAGTCCCACTCCAGAATAACTGAGTCAGTCTTCAGGGGTGGAGCCCAGGGATCTCTGTGTTACTTCTTAATTCTGGTAATTCTGATGTAGCTAGCAAAGCACATGTCATCTGACCAGCATATAGAAATAATGTATTAGTAACCAGCTGTGTCACTGAAGTGTTGCAACTCTGAATGTTAGTAAGTTAATATAAAACTTGTAGCTTAGATTTAATGAGACATCATTTTACTTGTGTTATCAAAAGTAAAATCTGGCCTTTTCTGGCAGTCTTGGTGCAAGGTAGGCCAGAGTGCTAATCCAAGATATACGACTTAGTAGCTTTGTGATGCTGGTTAAGTCTTTAAACTGTGAGTTTTTTCTCAGTCTTAAGAAAACTACAAGATAGATATGAAAGAATCGGAAGAAATAAGAATGAAAGGAAGGGCTTGGGGTTTTGTACGATTGTATACGTTTTGGGAACTTTTAAGGTATTAAGGACCTGTTATCCCACCCTGAGCTAAGAACAGTGATTCTGGTTATTTGTCTCCTCTACCTATTAATGTGCTTTCAAAGACTTACTCTTAAAAGTGCTTATGAGTTGAAGTACTTGTGACACCCTACTATGGATATCAAATGGCTTTTCCATTTCCTTATTGCCTCTAAAGAAGAGTGCTCTCTAAAGTCCTACTGCAAAGGAGGGGGTCAGCACCCATCTCTTAGGATTGTGAAGATTTAACCAAAGATTACATGACTATTTGAGTACACGAAAGGAATGAATGGTCCACATCCTTCTGAATTCTCTGCCCTCCTCATCCCCATAGTAAATAGTGCCCAAGGTAGGAACAGCAAAGGTAATTCACGCATTGGTGAATTTTGCTCATCCTGTTCCTCCTGCCTGGATAACTCCTCTTTAAGATTTACTATCATTAGTATCTTTTCCAGATAGCCATTCTTAACCCTTTATTCTCATTGAGGGCCAAATGTCTCTTCCCTGTATTCCCTTATGGATATACCTTGATAGCACATGATTTAAAACCACAGCCTTTATCTTCATTGTACCCGTAACACCTAGCACAGTTCCCTTTCAATGAGCAGCTTTCTACAGAACACTCAGAATTGTATTAGGCATTGGGGATTCAGTGATGAGCAATAACAGGTGTGGTTCTTGCTCACAGGGATTTCATAGTCTAATGCAGTGGTCAGCGAAGTTTTTCTGTAATGAGCCAGGTTACATTTTAGACATTGTGGGCAATACGGTCACTTGCGACTACTCTTGTCATGTTAACATGAAAGCCGCTGTTGATAATACGTAAATCAATGAGCATGGCTGGGTTGCAGTAAAGCTATTTAGAAAAACAGGTGGTGGTGGTGACGTGCAGGCTGTAGTTTTCTGATGTGATTCCTGACCTAGTGGGAAAGGTAAGCAGTTAACAGTCATATAAATGTGTAATTCATGAGGTGTGGCAAAACAGTGTTCTAGGATCCTGTGAACAAGCAACACCTGACGTAAAAGAGTCTGGGCAGGCTTTCTGGAGGAGGAGACATTCAAACTGAACTCAGAAGGATAAACATGAGCAGGCAAAGAAAAGGAGAGCTTTCTTAAGTTTTTCAGAGAATTAGAGAGTTAAAAGAATCCTTAAGAGCAGAGAGCCAAAGAGGGGAGACAGGAGACTGCAGCTGCACCCTGCAGATTGTGGCTGTGTGAGGTATTTGGTGTCTCTCCCATATTCAGTAGGAAGCTGCCTTTTGTGAAAGGCATTCAAATGTTTGTTGACTGAAATCAGAGGAATTGTGCAGTAACCTGCCTAGCTCTGAGACCATAACATCTCAGGCAGTTACTTAGCACTTCTGAGCCTGTTTTCCTCATCCATAACATGAGAATTTTAAGGATAAGTATTAGGTGTGAAAGCAGTATCATGTCATATAAATATTACCCTCTCTCCTCCCCCACCAAGTAAACCTTGAATAAAATACTAAACTTCTAATCAAGGAGAGATAACTTCAGGTACTAATCAATCCTAATACAATTGTTACTGGAAATATTGCTGAAACCTGCCCCTCTTTTTCCTCCAATTTTTTCTTTTCCTCCTCAGGTCTAATATTGACACACAGGCACATTGCTGAATTCTTCTAGATGGCACTCAAAGCCAAAAAGATTGCTGACTGCTGTGCTAATATGTGTGTGTATGTGTTCAAAATTGATCCACTTTTACATCTGATTCCCATTATCTCTAAACAATTTATCTGAGTATTTAAATAAATTGATCTAAAGGACTGGCCATCACTTTTTCATCATTTGAATTTAGAGTTTATATTTAGATAGATACTGTTTTTAAACCTATCTTTCCTGCCCACTTACTAGTCCACAAAGTCAGCAAAGACATCAGTTATGTCTGGTTTTCTCATCATCCTCTGTACCTGGTGCTCAAGTGTCTGTTGGCTGGAAGGATATTGCTGGAAGGATATAGGAAAGAATTGCATTTTCCCTACAGTACCTACCAGAAAAGCAATACTTGAGGTTGCAGCTGTGTCTTTTTAAGTACCTACGTATATTAAGTGGTTTGGGATAAAAAAGAGAGACAGCATAGGGTGACAGAGCCTGAACTTTGGAGTCAGAAGACCTGAGTCTGAATTCACTAATGACTCTGTGACTGGAGGTAAAATGCTTTACCTTAGGTTCACTTACCTTATCTAAAATGGATAATGCCACCTTGCCTTTGTAGTATATAAAACATCTAGTACAGTACCTTGTGTTCAATTAATAATTATACTAATTAGCTGTTATTTTACTTAATATATAGTAATAGTAATGAAGTTGAATGTAAACAGAGTTCTTGCTGAAAGAGAATACTTTTTAATGAATTCACCAGCAATATATGGAAAAGGACCGTACTGTGTCTAGGTTAAAAATTGGGAATTTATTGAAATGGTACATTTATTTCAAAGATAAGAAATTTGCTAGGGCTTTTGTGTTGCCTCTAGTAAATACTCCAGGATTTAAAATCAGATTCATTGATTGATTCAACAAAATATTGTGACCCAATTATTTGCCGAGTACCGTTCTAGGTACCGAAGATACAGTGATGAAAAACACAAAGTGTCCTAGAGCTTGTACTCTGGTTCAGAGAGGCGAACAAGACGAGTTCAGATTAGAACTGAGAATTGTGATGGAAATAAGCTGGATATGTAGGAGAGTGGGAGTTCAAAAAGCTACTTTATGTGAGGATGTAGGTATAAATAATTATCATAGCTCTGTGAAAGACATCTTAGCACCTAGGAGAGTTGGATGGTTTCCACTCTTCCAGTAATGAGAGACATGACAGTGATATCCAAAGCTTTTGATGTATATTACATTACAACTTTTTACTGACTCTTAACAAATAAAACATCATACTGAAAGAAGGAAAGGAAGCATTTATTGAATGTTTGCCGTGTACAGAGTACTTTTAGACACTTTTCAGATAAAAGAGTCCAAGGCTCAGAGGAACCCGTTTTCTTCCTTGAAATTACAGAATTCCTAAGCAGAAGATGAGAGAAATGCTTGAGAAGCTAAAGTGGCACACTTGTGTTAGTTCCTACAAGGAAAAAACCCTGTCTTCTCTTTTCAGACTTTTTCACCACCACAACCAAGGAAGGATATGATATGAGGCGAGTGGACCTAACTCCTTTAGAACAAAGGAAATTAACGTTTGATACCCATGCACTGGTTCAGGATTTGGAAACTCATGGTAAGAAACGGATAACTCTTGAAAGAATTTAACAACAGTCATAGTAAATTACCTAGTCAAGACAGTATAATTATTATGGACAATTAAGAATCAGTTGAAATACAAGTGCTATCCATACAGTGGAATATTGTACAGTCATGAAAATGGTATTGTTTGAAGAATATTTACTGATAATGAGAAATACTCAAGATAGAGAACTAACATATAACATTACATATTCAGTATGATTTCAATTATGTAGAAAAAAACTGCAGAGTTTCTAGGCTGATACTAAAGTTCATGTGTAAGTACAAGGACTGCTTAGGAATAGCAAAAAAGAAAAAGGAACAAACACAAAAAATAACGAGTTGTCAAAACAATAATTTAAATTGTGTGATAATACAGGAATAGAAAAGTTGATAAATGGGGCACCTAGGTGACTCAGTCAGTTAAGTGTCCAGCTTCAGCTCAGGTCATGATCTCACAGTTCATGAGTTCGAGCCCCATGTCAGGCTCACTGCTGTCAGCACAGAGCCTGCTTTGGATCTTCTGTCCCCCTCTCTCTCTGCCCCTTCCCTGCTCATGCACATGCTGTCACTCTCTCTCTCAAATATAAATACACTGTAAAAAATAAAAAATAAGAAAAGTTGATTAATAAAATAGAGTTGTATTCAGATAGGTAAACATAGATATTTTTAGCTAACAATAAGGCATTACAAATTAGGGAAAGGAAGAGCTATTTAATAAATTGATAAGATACATGACTAGCTATTTGAAAAAATAAATTCCAGGTTGATTAAAAGTCAAATGTATGGGTTACCTGGGTGGCTCAGTCAGTTGAGCATCCGACTTCGGCTCGGGTCATGATCTCGCGGTCCATGAGTTGGAGCCCCATGTCGGGCTGTGTGCTGACAGCTCAGAGCCTGGAGCTTGCTTTGGATTCTGTGTCTCCCTTTCTCTCCGTCCCTCCCCCACTCATGCTCTCTCTCTCTCTCTCTCGCTGTCTCTCTGTCAAAAATAAACATTAAAAAAAAAGTCAAATGTAAAAATATGAGGGAAAAGTTAAAAAAAATGCTAGAATACTTTAAGACTTTTAGATTGAGGAAACGACATAAAACTCAAAAGCAGTGAACTAAAGACTGACGTGTGACTACTGAAATATTTAAATCTGTATATCAAAGGGTGTCATCTGTAAAGTTAAAAATATTAGGAATAGACATAATAATGAGCCTATTGCTTTAATACACAAAATTCATATGAACCAATAAGGAAATGTTCAGTATCTTATAGGAAAATGGGTAAAGGCCATAAATAGCACACAGAAAAATATAAATGGGCAATAAATATATGTAAGGTGCTTAACTAAGGAAATGCAAATTTTAAGTATAAAAATGCTATGCCATTTCATTTTTTAATGCCAATTATAAACTGAAAAAGAAAAAACTAGCAGTATCCAGTGTTGATATAAATATGGGGAAATGGATCAGTGGGAATTAAAATTGCAGAATGCTTTTAGAGAGTAATTTAGCATAATCTGAAATTTTTTATTGTAACCATTTTTTAAAAAGTAAAAAATTTAAGGGTGCCTGCGTGACTCAGTCGGTTAAGCCTCTGACTTTGGATCAGGTCATGATCTCACGGTTTGTGAGTTTGAGCCCCGCGTTGGGCTCTGTGCTGACACTTCAGAGCCTGGAGCCTTCTTCAGATTTCTGTGTCTGTCTGTCTCTCTCTCTCTCTCTCTCTCTCTCTCTCTCTCTCTGCCCCTTCCCCACTCATGCTCTATCTCTCCCTCTTTCAAAAATAAACAAATATTTTTTTAAAAAGTAAAAAATTTAAATGATGAGGAAAGTTATTCTAGCTGTCTATGTTGATATGGATATCATTTTTTAAAAATATAAACATATGTTGGGCACCTGGGTGGCTCAGTCGGTACACGTCCCACTTCGGCTCACGTTGTGATCTCGCAGTCTGTGAGTTGGAGCCCCACGTCAGGCTCTGTGCTGACGGCTCCAAGCCTGGAGCCTGTTTTAGATTCTGTGTCTCCCTCTGTCTCTGCCCCTCCCCTGTTCATGCTCTGTCTCTCTCTCAAAAATAAATAAACGTTAAAAAAAATTAAAATATATATATATATATACACACATGTATTTGCTCTCTACAGGATTTGACAAAGCACAAGCAGAAACAATTGTATCAGCATTAACCACTTTATCAAATGTCAGCCTGGATAGTATCTATAAGGAGATGGTCACTCGAGCTCAACAGGTAATATTTTCATTATTATCAATTGTGACCATTTCATTAGACAATCTTTTGCATATGGCATCTCTGTCAACCCACCCACCTGCCAAACATACCTGCATCTTTCTCTCTACAAAGGGACCAAAGAACAAAAGCAAAACTCTTCAGTAAAGTTAGTATCTAAAGAGATTGAGGAGTTAGAAGAGTCATAATAAAATTATGGTCACACAGAGAATGAAATTTTTGTCAAAGCTTTCATTGTGTGAGATAATTATATATTATTTGAATTATTTGAGGTGGTGGTAGGTGATGAGTGAAACAACTTCTTCCCCACAGAATACCTACCACAGTAGAAAAGCTAACCTATTAGATAAAAACATTTAACTGCAGTCAGGTGTATGTTCTGGTTAACTTTCACAAACGGAAGAGACTTAATTAAACATGGCTGGAAAGGATTTCATTAAGATGCTTTAAATTTGAATACACAAATTCTTAAAGTCAGATAATGCCGTTTACTAAGAACTTACAGTGAGAGATGCACAGGGCTGTGGATTTCTCACATATTATCTTATGTAATCCCTCTAACAACCTTGCAAAGTAGATAGAATTATTCTACTTTGCCACTGAGGAGAGAATCAGATTAATTTTTTACAGTTGTCATTGTGGTGCTGTGGAGAAAAAGAATAATTTTATATAAAACATAGAATAAGCTAAATGAGCTTGACTGTGGAATATAATTGATAAAACTCATAATCGTGAATTAATCACTATGATTAAAAAATGTTTACTTTCTGTAATTTTATACACACACACACATACATGTATATTTTCTTTCCCTTGGACTTGACAAATACTTCATTTTTACTTAGGAATTAAGATTTTCCTTCTTTTTTTATTCCTCCTCTCCCAAGTGATGCACTGTTAATACAACGTTGCATTAGTTTCTTAATGTACAAAGTAGTGATACACCAATTCTATACATTACTCAGTGCTCCCCCATGATATAGGTAGTCACTATCTGTCACTATACAGTTTTTTTATAAGAGTCTGTTTCTTGGTTTGTGTCTTTTTTTACCTTTGCCTATTTGTTTCTTAAATTCCACATCTGAGTGAAATCATAAGGTATTTGTCTTTCTCTAACTATTTTACTTAGCATTGTAGTCTCTGCCTCCCTCCATGTTATTGCAAATGGCATGGTTTCATTCTTTTTTATGGCTGAATAATATTCTATTGTGTATATATACCACATCTATATCCATTCATCATTCTATGAGCACTTGAGCTGCTTCCATAATTTGACTATTGTATATAATACTGCAATAAACATAGGGGTGTATGCATCCCTTTGAGTAAGTGTTTTTGTTTTTTAATGTTTGTTTATTTTTGAGAGACAAAGTGTGAGCAGGGGAAGGGCAGAGAGAGGAAGACACAGTAGCCAAAGCAGGCTCTGGGCTCTGAGCTGTCAGCACAGAGCCTGATGTGGGGTCGAACTCACAAACCATGAGACTGTGATCTGAGCCAAAGTTGAATGCTTAACCAGCTGAGCCACCCAGGTGCCCCTTGAATAAGTGTTTTTGTATCTTTTGAGGTAAATACCCAATAGTGCAATTACTAGATTATAGGCTATTTTTCATTTTTTGAGGACCCTCCCTACTGTTTTTTATAGTGGCTACACCAGTTTGCATTCCCACCGACAGTGCAGGAGAGTTCTTTTTCTCCACATCCTCGCCAACATGTGTTGTTTCTTCTGTTGTTGATTTTAGCCATTCTGACAAGTATGTGAGGTGAAATCTCATTGTAGTTTTAATTTGCATTTCCCTAACAAGGACTGATGCTGATTGAGCATCTTTTCATGTGTCTGTTAGGCATCTGTATATCTACTTTGGAGAAATGTCTGTTCATGTCTTCTGCCCATTTTTTAATTGGATTATTTGTTTTCTTGGTGTTGAGTTGTGTAAATTCTTTATATATTTTGGAAACTAAGCTGTTATCAGATGTGTCGTTTGCAAGTATCTTCTCCCATTTCATAGGTTGCCTTTTAGTTTCGTTGATTGTTTCCTTTGTGCTGCAGAAGCTTTTTATTTTTATGTACTCCCAGTAGTTTTTTGTTTTTTTTTTTATTTCCCTTGCCTTGGAAGACATATCTAGAAAAATGTTGCTACTGCTAATGTCAGAGAAATTACTGCCTGTGCTCTCTTACAGGACTTTTCAGTTTCAGGTCTCGTATTTATGTGGTTAACTCATTTTGAGTTTATTTTTGGTATGGTGTAGGAAAGTGGTCCACTTTCTTTATTTTGCAAGTAGCTTTCCGGTTTTCCCAGCACCATTTGTTGAAGAGGCTGTCTTTTTCCCATTGCATATTCTTTTCCTCTTGTGTGAAAGATTAATTGACCATATAATTGTGGGTTTATTTCTGGGCTTTCTATTCTGTTCTACTTTGGGGACAATACCATACTGCTTTGATTACTACAGCTTTGTAATATAACTTGAAGTCCAGAATTGTGATACCTCCAGTTCTGTTTTTCTTTTTCAAAACTGCTATGACCGTTTGAGGTCTTTTGTCATTCCATACAAATTTTAAGGTGATTTGTTCTAGTTCTGTGAAAAATGCTGTTGGTATTTTGATAGGGTTACATTAAATCTGTAGATTGCTTTGGGTAGTATAGACATTTTAACAGTATTTGTTCTTCCAGTCCATGAGCATGGAATATCTGTGCATTTCTTAGTGTTGTCTTCAGTTTCTTTTATCATTGTTTTGGAGTTTTCATAGTACAGGTCTTTTACCTTCTTGATTAAAGTTATTTCTAGGTATTTTATTATATTTGGTGCAATTGTAAGTGGGATTATTAATTTCTCTTTCTACTGTTTCATTATTAGTGTATAGACTGCAACAGATTTCTATACATTGATTTTGTATCCTATAATTTTACTGAATTCATTTATCAGTTCTAGTGGGTTTTGGTGGAATCTTTAGGGTTTTCTTAAATTTTTTTTTTTCAACGTTATTTATTTTTGGGACAGAGAGAGACAGAGCATGAATGGGGGAGGGGCAGAGAGAGAGGGAGACACAAAATCAGAAACAGGCTCCAGGCTCTGAGCCATCAGCCCAGAGCCGGACGCGGGGCTCGAACTCACGGACCGCGAGATCGTGACCTGGCTGAAGTCGGACGCTTAACCGACTGCGCCACCCAGGCGCCCCGGGTTTTCTATATATAGTATCATGTCATGTACAAATAGGGAAAGTTTTCCTTCTACCTTACTGATTTGGATGCCTTTTCTTTTTGTTGTCTGATTGCTGTGACTAGAGCTTCCAGTACTGTGTTGAATAAAACTGGTGAGAGTAGACATTCTTGTCTTGTTCCTGACCTTTGGGGAAGAGCTCTCAATTTTTCTCCATTGTGTATGAAGTTGGCTGTGGGTTTGTCATAAAGGCCCTTATTATGTTCTCTCTAAACTTATTTTGTTGGTGCACCTGGGTGGCTCAGTCGGTTAAGCATCCAACTCATGATTTCAGGTAAGGTCATGATCCCACAGTTGTGAGACAGAGCCCCACGTCAGCAATAGAGCCCACTTAAGATTCTCTTTCCCTCTGCCTCTCCCCTGCTTGCACTCTCTAAACAAACAAACAAACCTACTTTTTTGACGGTTTTTATCATGAATGGATGTTGTACCATCTTGAATGCTTTTTCTGCATCTATCAAAATGGTCATATGGTCTTTATCCTTTTTTTTATTATTAATGTGATGTTTCATGTTGATTGATTTGCAAATATTGAACCAGCTTTGCATCCTGGGAATCAATCCCACTTGATTGTGGTCAGTGATATTTTTAATATATTGTTGGATTCAGTTTGCTAATATTTTTGTTGAGGGTTTTTGTATCTATGTTCATCAGAGATACTGGCCTCTAGTTCTCTTTATTTATGATATCTTTATCTAGTTTTAGTTATCAGTGTAATGCTAGCCTCCTAGAATGAATCTGGAAGTTTTCCTCCCTCTTCTGTTTTTTGGAATAGTTTAAGAAGAGTAGATATTAATTCTCCTTTAAATGTTTGGTAGAATTCACCTGTGAAGCCATCTGGTGCTAGATTTTTGTTGGGAGTTTTTGCTTACTGATTCAATTTCATTACTTGTAATTGGTCTGTTCAGATTTTCTATTCCTGCTTCAGTTTTGGGTGATGATATGTTTCTAGGAATTTATCCATTTCTTGTAGGTTGTCCAGTTTGTTGGCATATAATTTTTCACAATATTCTCTTACATTTGTTTGTATTTCTGTGGATTAATTTTCTTCTTTGGTGATTTTGTTTATTTCAGTCTTTTTATTTTAATGAGTCTGGGTAGAGGCTTATCAGTTTTGTTGATCTTTTCAAAGAACCAACTATTGGTTTCATTGATCTCTTTCATTGGGGTTTTTTGTTTTGTTTTGTTTTGTTTGTTTTTTAGATTCTTTGTCATTTATTTCTGCTCTAATCTTTGTTTCCTTCCTTCTGCTGGTTTTAGGTTTTGTTCTTTTTTTAGCTGCGTTAGGTATGAGGTTAGGTTGCTTATTTGAGATTTTTCTTGCTTTATGAGGTAGGTCTATATTGCTATAAACTACCTTCTTAACACCAGTTTTCCTACATCCCAAAGATTTTGGACCTTTGTGTTTTCATTTGCATTTGTTTCCATATAATTTTTTATTTCATCTTTGATTTCTAGGTTTATCAATTCATTGTTTAGTAGCATGTTATTTAACCTCTGTGTATTTGTGCTCTTTCCATATTTTTTTCTTGTGGTTGATTTCTAGTTTCATGGCATTGTAGTCCGAAAAGATACATAGAATGACTTTGATTTTTTTTTAATTTGTTGAGACTTGTTGTGTAGCCTAATATGTGATCTCTTCTAGAAAATGTTCATGTGCACTTGAAAAGAATGTGTATTCTTCTATTTTAAGGTTGAATGTTCTGAATATATCTGTTAAATCCATCTGGTCTACTGTGTCATTCAAAGCCACTGTTTTCTTGTTGATTTTCTGTATGGATGAT